CGCCTCTTTTGCACGCCGTGCATCGTGGCCATGCTCGAGGGCGAGATTGTGCCCTGGTCGCACAGCTTCCGCACGACGCAAGGCGAGCCGTTGCCTGACGCGCCTTTCTGTGTAGATCAAGTCTCGCGCATGCTCGGCGCGCGAGCTTCGCCGAGAACCTCGTTCAATGATCTGACAGGTCTCTGGGAGCCCACCGGGTTCTACGACGCCTTTTCGCGGCAGCTGGGCGAGCCGATGTTCCGAGCCTTGGGCGCGCGTCCGAGCCGCACGCGCACTGGCGCGAACGGTGGCCAGCTCGTGTCGCGCCAAGCCACGTACTGTGACAACCCTTCGTGTCCGCACAACCGCCCGTACGGCAACCCGGCCAAGCTGTCCGAGTGCGCGCGATGCCTCGCGGTGTCGTACTGCTCGAAAGAGTGCCAAAAGGCCGATTGGAAGGCGCACAAGAAGGTCTGCTGCGTTGCGCATGGCGCCGCGTGAGGATATACATCCATCAGCTACCCGAACACCGTACATTGCCACGAGGCGCGCGAGCGCCGCAGTACCGCCGCGCTCGCCGAGACAGTCGCCTGTACAGTCCGGCGCGATCGTGTTGGCTGTTGCCGCCGCATTGAGCAAATCTCTGCCTGTGAAGTGTCAGCCTCCTGGCGACACATAGCGGCGCGCGGGGGTGCGTGTGGTCTCCCCTCCTTCCCATTTTTTTTCTTTTGAGAGCAGGACGCCGGGTTTGTCTTGTATGTGCGTGTCGGGCCGGGGTGTGAGCGAGGGGCAGAAGGGGCGGGGGCGTGCGGGGCAGAGGCCCAACGTCGGGCGGGGTCCCGCGCGTCCGCCCGCGCCCGCGCCCGCCCAGCCGCGCCCGCGGGCTCCGGATGCGCCGCCCTCCTTCTCCTTCTTCTCGATGGCAGTCCGCGCGTGCTTTTGTCGACGGGTCGGCGGCGTGGTCGAGGGGAAGGTCGCCCGCGGCGGCCGCACCTCTGCCGCCGGCCGTCGCTCCGCCGGCTCTGACCGAGTATCGGGCGTTGAGGGCGGCGGCGCAAAGCGGGTCTGGTGCGCCACGGCCACCACCCTTGCCGCCGCCCTTGCCGCCGCCCTTGCCACCCTTTGCCGCCTTGCCTCCGCCGCGGGCGGCGGTGGGAGCGGCCTGCTGGGCTAGCATGTTGTCCTTGCTGGGGACGGGCACGTGGAACGCACGTTACATGTTCGAACGGCCTGTGATTCAAACCAAAAATAGCCAAGGCCCTCTCGCAACCCCTCCGACCCCCCGGGACCCGTGGGCGTCGAAGAGGCGCTCTCGGGGGGCCGTTCTGAGTTCATGCTACCACGAAGCACACT